CATTTATGGAGCTGTAAATTGAAAACTATAAGGTCGTTACAACCTCTTTATATCGTGTTCTTAAACGCCAATCAAACTAGCAGCAGAAATTCGATTTATTGCTAACCTAAGAGAGGAAGAAAATTAATTCACTATTTGACCAATTTTTGATAGATAAAATAGTGAATAGAAGCCTGTAGCAAATTGTGATCCATTATAAAACTCAGACTGTATTTTATCTGAGGTTTGGTTACTGTATTCGAGTGTTTCTTTACTCCAAATTGGATAAATATTAAGCCAGACGCAGGAATGGAGAGAGTGAAGTAACGGAACGAAAGCTTCTACCTAAGTAAGAAAGAAAATTACTGGAGTTTAACAACAGAAGAGAATTCTCACAGCCTCTTAATGCTCATTCTCGCTGGTCTATATACTAAAAACACTAAACCGAAGATTAGCTCTCAAGATATCTTCATGTAGCAGATGCCAGTGAAATTGGATGTGCAAACTGTCGGAACTTCGCCAGTAGTTTACGTCTTTACTTTCCGGACTCACAAAATTGAACTGCATCTGCATTAGTAATCACTAAATTCCAGAACGTTCTGCACTACCTTGCATTCATCTTCAACATTCTAAGGTAAAATAATATATTATTGGAGAATCCCCAAACGAGAAACGACATGCCACGGCAGCAAGCTTACATGTGTATTTATGTACATATGCTGAAGATGAAGTCAACAAACTACCTATTCCAGAGTAAAATATTAAACTGTATCGAGCGCGCAAACTTTACAGAATAATGTCGATATTGTTTTCGACGTGAAAGTCTGGAAATTGTTCGTGAAGTTAACAAAATTTATGTAATAAATGATTGGCCTCATTTTTAATGGTTTCAGAAAATAAAACGAGCAAAGTTTCAAAAATTACTTACAATTATTTACAGTTGTTTCGCCGTAAAACGGCTTCTTCAGTTTCGTTCGTTCGTAGGTGTTCATCTATACGTAATTAAAAGCTTCTCCTTGCCTGACCAATGTAGAGCTTTGACTACACATTCTAATAAATAGATTCCTGATTTTTGATATAGTTTAAATTGTAGGGTTGGTTTCAGATAAAGCTTTGATATTTGAGCTTTACATAGGAGATTGAATATTACCTTTGTGGAATAGTTACTACTGTGACCAAAATATACAATTCTATCCGATATGGAATGGAATATTTTATATGCATGATGGTGTCAATGTGTTTCTTCTGCCTTGTGGGTACAATAACGCGATTATTTTTGAAACTTTGTTTTATTAAGTGTATTAAAACCGAGTTTCAACTAACTGATCCACCGCAATTTAACCATTTAATTGGTTTTTTAATGAATGATGAAAAGTTTTTCGCACAGAAATTATTTCTCTCAATTTCTTCGTGCTTTTTAGAATATCTTTGATGAAGGGGTTCGAAGTAATTACCAAAGTACGATCGGGAAATATCGAGGAACAAATTACAGATAACGTTTCACGGTTGGATGAAAAGATTGGGTTCGTATTTTCATAAACTGTTTGCTAAGGAGCTTTCCCATTTTGGAGGGGTCAATTAAAAAACGATTTGAACATACGCAGTAGGAACAGGAATAGAAATATATACACGAAAAGGAGAAAGCATCTCGTTTGACGTTGTGGTTGCAGTAACAATTTGGACAAAATTATTATCTACTGCTGAATTTTCAAACGTTTCTTGGTTAGACACAAATTTTGTATGGACCAAATGTATTTTCTTTTTAGCTTTCTTTTTAATTGTTCTGTATAATTCCTTTTTTGATTTCGGTTAATTTTAAAGCGTTATCACTTAGTCAGACGGTTTTCGTTTCGAAAAAGAAAAACTTTTTAAACAATTAAAACCTCAGCTGAAGTGTAATTTTTTAATGAATGAAAAAGCGAGAGAGAATGGAATCAATTTCCTTGACTTTTAGTCGCTAGAAAAGCTCTTTTAATCTTATCAAAGTGGCATTTACGTCTTGATGGCGAGAAAACGAACTCTTAACGTTTTCGCTTGAGTCGGCCAATTTTTTTTTAAATTTTTTTTTTAGAAAGGGCTCTCTGAAATAAGCTCTGATTTTCTTTTCAACTTTCTTTATCGTCGCTAATTCGGCAGAAGCCCGATTTCTTTGAAGCCTTGCCGCAAATGGTCCATGTCGAAATATTATGTGAGAAGAAAAATCAAAATTCACGTACATCTGCAGACAGGGCGGAAATGGAAACGTTTTAGATTTTCGTTTGATGATATGTTTTAAAAAAATGTTTATACCTAATAGCATCCAAACTTCCTATCCTCTGTAAGAGATTAAAGTCGAAGTTTTGCTGGTAATTTTTCAGACTTGGAGGATTTGCTTTTAACTTGGACTCCGTTTGTCGAGGGATTATTGCATTTGGGAATAACGCTAGGATAAGCTTGGTCAGGAAATTTTACGTAACACGTACACCAACAAACACATCAGTACGTATTCTGTATGTACGTACTCCATACATACCTACATACATAGACAGAGAGAGTAAATTGTTTGTTTGGTGCTAAGTAGCTTTCTGTGTAGTCGGGCATGAGGATAACCGCGTAGATAGCTGGCAGTCGAAGGAGACTATGAGGAGGTATATGCTGCAGCTTTCAGCCGATAACACGGCGTCGCTGACGTCTTTAATGCCTTGTCAGGCTCCGTTTGACATCGCTGCCGCCCGCCGCGCCGAACGCGAAAAACATACACCGGCTTTTGTTAATGTAGCGTGGTACCGAGCGCGAGGGGATTTGTTGAAGGAAATGTGATGGTAAGAGAAGAATAAAAAGGCGAACACGGCGGAAAAGGCCAATGGAATAACGATATATGGTATCGTGCTATCGAAGACGTATGCACTCAAGACACACTTCATTTACTTGATAGTTTCAATACCGAACTTGGTGCATGAAGAGATCCGGAAGAAACAAGTGCATTTCTCGTCTTTTTTTATGTTTAAAAGTCTGTATAGCTTCCCCTCTGATGATATGGGTGCTTTTTATGGTGTCGTAAAGTTGGATAGTTGTATACGTATATATAAAAAGCAAGCGGCATCATTTTTATGTCTCTTCCAGTTCTGTTGGTATTTATTAAAAGTTGCGATGTTATTCAAGTCGTAAGATCGTCTCCCCCTTGTAGGAAAATTAATACACCGCAACAGAGTACATAACGTATAGGAGTAAGTTGGTGATGTAGTAGACTTAACTGGCTGAGAAAGAAACGACTTCAGCACCACTTTATAGGTATAACAACATCAGATTTATGCGGTGCGTGAACAAGGGGCATTAAATATAAATCAGCCATAAGACCTGCTAACTGTGGATGTACTACGCCACGTAAAATATGGGTCGCAGAGGGCTGTTATTATAAGGTATTGTGTGGGAGGGTGCGATAGCGTTGTTGCTAACCGTAGCGTAAAGAATAATTTCCAGATAACGCTTGACTCGTGTCATTAGAATGACCGATAAAATTCGCTATTTTATACGTGAAAAAATTTAATAATGAATTTCATGCTAACGCCCGTACAGCCCTTTTCCTATTATGTTGTGGTGACATGAAATACAAATTTGCATAACTGTCACATTTCCCTATATTTTTCTCATTTTAAAAGAATACATAAATTTGGAACAGTCTCCATTCTTTTCGAGAATTATGGAACTCCTTTTGTTATGCGGCAAATATGTGTCACTCTGGGTATGATTTGTTAACCGCCGCGTTTTTAGTACAGGTGTTGGCGATCATCGGCCAGTTTCTGCTTGCGAGCATACTCAAGAGTCGTCGAGAATCAATGTATTGATTATCATGTACATGCTTGCACGTAACGCTACCCCACCTGAAGGACAATCGGTCTCGGTTCATATTCTCTTTTTCCTTCGAAGAATCATGCCGCTGCCCTGCAACCTTTGGTGGTAGACAAATCAGTTTCTATCCGGTAAATTTAGTACCCTTCCTCCATATCTGAGCTAGTCATTCAGCTCCGATAGCTGGTTACATTTCTGGTCGCGGCCCATATTCAAGTCTGCTGTCACATAATGCAGCTACATGAACAGAGAATGCAGACATTGCCGGTTATCGAACGTCTAATACGATAAACATAAACAATTTAGTATTACATGCAGTTTACTATATAAATGCTACTTAAACACTGGTCGGTTAATGATTACGATCTGGATAAATGTGATTTTCTCGAAAATGGTGAACCTTCGGACACACAAACGTTTGCTTAATCTTTAATCTTTATATCTCATAGTTATGTCTATCATCTCCTGCAAGCTTGGCAGTTATTTCTGTTACACCCTGTGTACCTACCTTTGTACTAACATAGTTTGGCTATTGCGATAAACTTTAAAACAGTTTTAAATGATGTCTATTCAACGTTGCAGAACCGCATTTCCGGAGTTGTATTTGAAAAGCAATTTGCGAGTTTCGTTTTCAATCATCAGCTAGTCGTCATTAGAATGAAACGTTGAAAAGTTATTTATCAAAATTCTTGAAGCGTCTGTTTTGCAAGCGAGTAAGCATTGAGTGAGTATGCAAACTTGACAGTGTTTATAAATAGAAGGACGAGCTATTTGAACTGACAATTACAGAATGTTGACAGCTGTTAGGTATTCACAGTGCTTTTGGCAAACGAGTTAAGAAGTTCTGGTTGCATTTCAACTACTTCAAAACTCAAGTTTCATTTAACACTCCAAATGAACATTTGCCGTGAATTTTAGGAGCTAGTACCGATGAATGCCCACTTACGCATTAATTAAACGATCCGCTGACTAACTCGATTCAAAGTTTTTCAGCTGTCTCTTCCGAGTCGTGGCTTAACGATTAAAGTACGTTTTTATTTTATTAAACAAAAAGAAATAGATCCAGGCCGGTGATTTATCCAAATTACAGTCCGCATTTGGTAGTTTACTTTTTTATTCAGTAATAAAAATCTGAAATATATTTCAAGTGTTTATTGTTGGTTAAATTATATTTACATTAAAAATATGGGCTTTAACATTCCAGGGAAGAGACATATGTACGTAATGAGTAATTGTAACATCGTATTTAGTTATTATTAACTTACATTTAACGTATTCTGTTCACAATATAATGTTCTTCTTTTATTTACAAAATTAATAATTCGTTGATATGTACACAAATTTTACGTTCATAGGTTAATATTTTTCTCATCGCGATAGGGGTGGTTTATAATCTCGCGGGCCATCATCTTGATAAGACCTTACTTGCTCAACTCAATTGAGTGTAGGTACAATGTGAATGGTATAAGATCTGCCTCTTGTATGATACATTTCGTGGCCCATGAAATTTTAAATTACCTCTAACAGCGAAAACAATATTTCGTCGGTGTTTGTAACAATTCACGACATTACGAAGTCTTAGTGGTCATTTCAAATTAATTAAGAATCCGTAATTGAAGTTGTTGATGTGAAGAGATGGTGCAACGTTATTCTTTTTAGTCTGCGATTCGATAAGAAACGAAATGACACAGAAAAAGTTAACAATCTGGAAGATATCGAAACAATGTCGGAAATAAATTGTCATCATAATCCGCGATAAAATGTGTATTGATTGCCGAAGCGTCGGTCGTGATAAAAATGGCTTCGTTTTCTCTGTGTTGCATGCCGTGTTGATTTATGCTCATCTTGAATTCTGCCTCTTGTACGATATCAAACATCGTTAAAAAATGACGTTTATTTATTATTCATCGTTTCACAAACGAGAAGTGAAGAAAAAATTATGTTTTCACACAACACCAAAAGCGTCTGTTACATGTAAACAATTTTATTTAGCTGTATGTGATTTTATGCAATCATTCACGAAAATGAAATTGTGTTTTATAAATAATAATGAATACAATTAATGAAAACTTGCATTGCTATACTTAATAATAAACATTTATCGTTTGCATTAGTTAAACAAATGAAAGTAATCGGTTACGTTTGGTACTGTAGACATTCGTGCAAATTATATTCGGATTACATGGGTAGGTACTGAAATTATTTGAAATTTAAAATGATGGATACTCAAAGTTTTAATTGTATCAAACACGAAACTTGTTTTATATTGGTAACGAGTTTGATTGTATTAATTAGCGAAATGCACGTTCTCCATTAATTTTGCAGTTTTAATTGGGTAAATTTTCGATTTCTGTCATCGGTTTTCACGTTAAAAATAGACCAATATGACTTCGTATGGTAATAAACTTTTCTAACTCGGCAGAAAAATAATTTTTGGCAGTTTACATTTATTTATATTAATGTGCCTACTTCTTGAACATTGATAGTAAAAGGAAACACGGTGTTTGTTATGATACGGTAATACATAAACTGGGGTAGTTAATGGTTATGTAATTACAGTGTAGGTAGTTACTTAGGGGAGGACTTATTTACTTTGTTCGATAACAAGAAACAGACACGTCTGAGGTCTTTAATATCGTCGCCCCAAAAAGGAGCCGGAGACATTTATTGTTAATACTTGAAACAAATTAAGTCATTTGAACTTAAATCATTTGAACTGAACATTGAACTTAGTTGTTCTAAAATGGTTAATTCATTTGCTACGTCACGGAAGTTACAAATGCCAAAATAAATGTTAGGATGGTAATCGGCGGTAGACACGATATGGTTGAAGTTCTTCCATGGTACATAGCAGCTGGATGCTCCCCTGAAACAATACACACCTTTAGAAATAATGAAGCTATCTAACTAAAAAAGATTATTAATATCAAGTAATTGGCAGTATACCGCCATCTGTAGAATTACAAACGTACTCTTCGGACTTCAGCCTCATATCGACGTACTGTGCGATAGTACCTACAAATGCAGTTGCAGTTTACATTTATCATGTGCATTGTGGATATCTCACAGGAGAGTATGCTTTGTCTTTAGTCATGCAATGTTAAATGATAGCTTTCTAAAAGCGTGAACGTAAAGTCTACGGGTTGCGACAGAAACTGCCGTCAGCTGGGAAATCTTGTAAAGCCTCGGGGAATACCCGAGTCACCGAGTTGAAATACGCCACCCGCGCGCAACACAGACCTCGTTGTATATCAAAACAGGACTTACGTCAGGGATAATGCTTTCAAGGCTCTTTTAAACAATACAATTAACTTATCCAGCACGAATCTTCATTCTATGCCATATGTACATACAGTGCAGAGGTGATATCTTTCCTATTATACTTTTATAAGTAAATCCTTTTCAGAATCGTAACAATGATAATGTTCCCTGATTTGCTGTGTCGCGTATGCTTGGATTTGTACACGTTTTAGACCTCATTTCGCTAAGGCATGGTAAATCACATAAATGCAGTTTGATGAATAAAACAGAAAGTTAATAACATATGGATCCTTTCTTAGTCTAATCGTGGATCTGTGTCACAGTAGAGAAAACTCCTTTCTGGAAAATATATTTAACACTGGATTTCTCTGTATATTGCAGTCGACTATCGATGCCTCTAGGCTGTTGCTATTTGTCTAAAACTTTGATGATTGGACGCTTTACCAGCACTTCTTATAAAAAATGATTTCGTTACATGGACCACCTTCACTAAAAATGAGAAAGAACTCGTACGTAGCCTGGTCGTTTATTTAAGGACCTTAAAACATTTCTTTTGAGGTATTTGAAGGCCTTTCTGGTTTTAACTTCAAATATTGAAAACAGATTACCTACGATTGATATTTTATTGTTCCTTCTTTGTCACAAAATCGTTCGTATGTTATCAGAAAAAAAAAACGGCGTCTTTTTGCTCCGAAGAAGAAAGGTAAACTGTTTTGTCGACTGGATGGTAGATAGGTAACTTATGGCCTAATAAGTCAGGAGAAGAAGTTCGTCTTTGACATATGGACGTTCTCTAATGGTTGTTCGTTTGGGAAGATAGTTGTTAGGTTGCCTCCTAACTTTTCCAATAAATAAGAAAAGTCTCGAACTCGGAGGCAAACTACGCTCAGCTGCATTTGCTACTACGTACCTACTACTTGTGCCGCGTCCCTCGTACAACAAGGTTGTGCAGTCGTTGCACGGAATGACTCGACCAAAAGAAGCAACCCCGCAAGCACTGTGGCTGTAAACTTTAAAGGCCCTTAAATAAAAGATTAGCCAAGGAAAAGGGAAGAAACAGCAACTTTCACAGGTAGAAGAATATGCAGTGACAGGAAAAACCAATTCAAAAATAAAATCGATAAAACTAAACGCTTTTTTAAATCAGCAGAAAGCTTTTTCACTTTGTTTATTCTCACAAAGGTTGGAAGTATACTAAAGGATTTATTTTGTCATGAAATGCCTCGATATTATTATAGTCGGCCAGTTTCGTCGTCCCCTTGGGTCTCTATCGGGTCCCTTCCAGATCCCAGTCGTACCAAGCACTTTGTCTTTTTTATTGCCACATTGGCATTGCCGCTGTCGCCGTGCAACGTATCTCTCTAAATTGAATTTTTAGTCCGCTGTTCCCGTTGCTCTCGGTCTTCCTGATTGCAATTACATCATCGTGGCCGACGGTAATCCCAAACAATTGTCGGGGTGTATGATTTGAAGTGCCACAGCGTTTTTAATCGCGGACTGTTGCTATCGAAAAATCAACAATGCGACGAGTTCTTTTTTTTTTTTACCATGATGGTATTCAAATGGAAGCTTATCATTTTGTAGTCTTGTGTAACTTATAGACGCGTGTTTTTAATTATCTATTGTTATAAATTGTATTGTTTGACTTACCGTTGAGTATGTGGACTCTGATGGTTGCCGGTTCTGCATTTGACGGGGTACAGTTGTAGAGTCCTGAATCTATCAAGGATGCTTTTTGAACTAATAGTCGACTGGTGGTTGTTGCACCCTTCTCTGTGACAAGGCTGATGCCTCCTCTCGGAGAATCGAAGTTAATTGGCTTCCCGTTGTGGGACCAGGTGATGGTAGGGGGTGGTTCGGGGGCATACTGTACCAGACAGGTCAAATTGATCGTGGACCCTTCGTTTATAAAAAGCTCCGGACCGCCAAGGATTTCCGTTATCGGCTCTGCAATAAATTTTGACCGATAAGTACCTAAGTACGAGATTTTCCCAAAAAAGAGTTGTCAACAATTTCAGATATCACCCTTATTCTGAAGTAAATAAGAAAGAAATAAGATTGCGGGTCTACATTCTGAATATTGCTGTAGCAATTAATTAATGTTTCATTTACTCTGACTAATTAAGAAATCAGTGACATTTGACTCTAGAGGTAACATTGTTCCAACTTCCTGTCCAAGCAGGACTTGGGATAACTAGCTATCCATGTACCTAAATAGTGAGTGGATTGGAGTGGTAAACATTCCATCCAGTAATTTATTAGAATGGTAAAGGCAAATTTCAGACATTGTCCTGTAACTAAGGGCGGCTATTCAGGCTCAGCTCCGTTCCCTTTGAACAAAGAACAGGGACGGCTGGATAATGAGTTACAAATGTTATCATTACTTCGGTTACCGCATGCAACATTATTAGGTTTTAATTCTACGCATGTCCACATTCATTAGGCTTCGATTGTGACGGTGATATCTTATTTATAAATCACAAATTAAATGTAGTACGACAAGAGGATGATGATGAAAATTCCATGGGTAAAAAAGTTGAAAAAAATGTAGTAGAACAGCGGATGCTATTGAATTTACTAAGGAAAAGGAGGTACTTGGGTTTACTTTTGAGACATGAAAGACTAGTTTGGGACTAAAGAGGGGTAGAAGAAGACCTAGATTAAATTGGCGTTGGCAAATATGTGATAAGGGATGCTTGGATGCTCTAGTTTTTAGGAAATGCGAAGATACGAGTAAGTTAGAAAGGAGTGTATGTCCAATCAGTTTTGATGTTGATGATTAAAAAATAATGAGCTTTCAAGGGTGCAAATAATTTCTACACAATTTTACATCATTCGTCAGTTAATGTAAATAAATATAATTGAAAGTACTGCTTTTATCTGTGGTTGTAGAGATGAGAGAATTAGTATTACGTTATGCTGTTATAAATGATCTTAATGGAGAATGAAAAAGCATCTAATTAATGAACGTTCCTAGGAAGGACTAAAAGCCGTACAGACGTTAATGGACAGCGAAATCAATGCCGGCTCTTGCACACTTGGTTTATTTTGTACGCTTACTTCGAGAATTAATGGCGTAAGAGATACAAAGCTTCTGATGATATCAATTTATGACAGCAATAGTCGCAAACCTTTGTTTGTCCACGTTCATTGCCACATGAGAAATGAACCGACCACAAAGAGGACGTGTCAATTACTTGCAGAAAATTTGAGAACTATTAATGTTATTCATTGTATTTTCACATAGAAACTGATTAATTCCAACTTCTAACTTCTTTATTGCTTTACTTGTCTTCGGAACTCGCTTTGCTACATTTATTCTTGAAACTCAGAGAATTGTAGCGGCAAAGTTGCAATTGCAGATAACAACTAAAGACGAATATTCCGGTTAAATTCCATCCTATTGTTGTCAAAAGCTATTGTAATCATGTTTGTTCCAATGGCTGTAGTCAGTCATACACAATCACTCATTCTGTCTAGACGCTCTCTGCTCTTCACTTTATAGAATTCTGAAGTTACAACTACTGAAGGGAAAGAATAATCTTGCTTGAATGTAGAACACTTACAGTCTTTTATGAATGTCTATGCCTCTTTAACGTCTTTATCAAGCATACACCTTCAGTAAATGAGAGAATGCATACTTAAATTATTATGCAGAATAATGTTTCTAAAAGAACAGTAAATAATTAGGAAAGTGTCATAGAGGTAGAGGTAATTTAGAATGACATGAACGTTGGTCATATGCCGTGTAGTGACAAAACTCTCCCCGTTTACTGATTTCTACATTTCTACATCATAAAAGAATTATTATTCAGATTTTACAGTTTATCATAAAAAACGTGTGATCAACCGTCCTGTTAACGGCAACGGTCAACAGTAACTGTCAACGGTAACTATCAGCGGCAATTGTTAACGGTAACTGTCAACGGTAACTATCAACGTTATCTATCAACATTAACTGTCAACGGTAACTATCAGCGGCAACTGTTAACGGTAACTGTCAACGGTAACTATTAACGGTAGCTATCAACATCAACTATCAACGGTAACTGTCAACGGTAACTATAAACATTAACTGTCAACGGTGACTGCCAACGGTAACTATCAACGCCAACTGTTAATGGTAACTGTCAACGGTAGCTATCAACATTAACTGTCAACGGCAACTGTTAACGATAACTGTCAACGGGAGCTATCAACAGTAACTGTTAACGGTAACTGTCAGCGGCAACTGTTAACGGTAACTGTCAACGGTAACTATTAATGGTAGCTATCAACATCAACTATCAACGGTAACTGTCAACGGTAACTATCAACATTAACTGTCGACGGTAACTGTCAACGGTGACTGTCAACGGTAACTATCAACGCCAACTGTTAACGGTAACTGTCAACGGTAACTATCAACGGTAGCTATCAACGACAACTGTTAACGGTAATTGTCAACGGTAACTATCAACGGTAGCTATCAACATTAACTGTCAATGGTAACTGTCAATTGTGAACGGTAACTTATTGGCATTGAAGATTGGTCGAAAGTATTGTTTAAATAACGAATACATCATTTCATTATAATGTATATACCTATACACCGGTCTTAAAAACATGCAAATAGAAGTAAGCACACACGATCCAACGTTGTAATATTACATAAAATCCCATTCGTGGCAAATTTCTGTTCACGTATCCCGAATACGACAGTGGGAAGCTGATTGCACTGGCTGTAAGTAAGTAGTACCTAACCAACTTTGTCAGTTTTTATCAGTACGTGCATCGAAACTTTCCGACTCGCTCGCTGTTACTCGCTTTTCCCATTCTGCATCCCAGATGAAAGAAACACTGACGGCTGGCAAGGGCAACAAATAGTTGATGTTATCCTGTTGGTTACCGCCAATGTTATTACACGGTAAAAGTTTTGCGGACGTGGCCCGAATCGCGTAAAGTTAAATCAACCTCCCAAATTACCGGAATTAATTGATTCGAATTAGGTGGAGGAAGTCATGAATATTAGATTTTTTTGCCTTTTCCTTTGAACCCAAAATGCTCGTTAATTCCTATTGATTGTCGGCCTAGCTGTACCTTAGTATATAGAAAGGCGTCTTAAACATTTAGAGTAATTGTAATATAATTTGGTGAGTCACTATTGACCATCGTCAGTATAATATGTTTTAATGAAGTGAAAGAGAGGTATTTTGAATCAAACCTTAATTGTTGTTAATTGATGAAGCTACAATTTGTTGCCCTTTCAACATAGAAAATTAGGAATGAAGAACGATGGCTCGTGAAAGCTTAAAAGTATTAGTTGACTCTTTAACATGCTTAATTGAAATTTATCTAAAGGAATTAGGGGGTAGTAAACGTGTATTACACCTTATTCGTACTTATACGTACCATACATGAACGTTAGTTTTTGCAACGTTTAGCTGGCGTAACTTGGTAAATTGGCTGAATGGTCGATAAAAAGTACATGGTTGAGTACATTGCATGGTTTGCCGATTACAAACTTCAACTGTTTAGATACAATGCAGTTATGTGCTCCGATCCAGTGCAATTGTTAATTCTTATTATTGGTCACGTTCGGCTCATATAGTAATACTATCCGAAGCGATCGAATTATCAAATAAGCTAATGCTTAATCTACTTATCTTTAGTGATTATGTGTATATCGTGCGGTTCTTTTACGGTCAGTCTGGAAAACGGCCAAGAGCGCGTTCGAAAGCCACTCGTGCATTTTATTGTAGCATATCTACTGTGAAATTGGTCTGAAATACGTAAAATAACAATAAAGGCGGAACATTCACATCATTCATATCATACGACCTCGTCATAGAAGTGTCAAATCTCTTTTATTCATGATGGACAGAAATTACTGCAGCGAATTTATTGTTAGTTTGAAATATATCACCAAAGTTAATCAATAAATTTGGATTATTTGATTTTAGGTAGGTGCTTTGTCTGCCACTCATATTTAGGATTATCAAGACAATAAATAATTATTAACAAAGTTTCAATTCTATACCATCAAGACAGTTAACTTTATTTAACAAACTTATTTCTGAACAGTTAGGATTATATTAGATTATAAAATACGGCAAACTTATAATACCTCATCTAATCGTAAGTAGGAAGTTTGAAACAAGCCACTTAATAATTTGTTGGTTAACACCGTACAGCTACGTGTCTAGATATTGTGTAGAAGTGCTGCTGTGATTAACTTTGATTATATAATTGCTCACTTGTTGTTGCTAGAAATCTACGCCAAACGAAATGAGTTCCTGAATAAATGTTACTTAATATTTGCCTGCAGTCAAACTTCGCTAACATGAAACTTGTGAATGCAACTATCAGTTATGTTCGAGTTAGAGAAAATTCGAGTTAGGGAAAATTTCTGTTTTACCGTCACAATTTAATTTTTGCTTTAAATACATCGCTTCTAGCTATATTGCTTTTGTTAAGTCCATTTTTAATAGCACAATCTTAGATTACGGTATCACGCACGATGATGTTGAAGGTTGAAAGGTCATCGACATGATCCAGAACCCCGGTAGTATCACTACTAACAGAATTTTTTCTGGCGGTTACAATATAACGCTCAGTGCTGCAGTGACAGTTTCGTTTAAAAATCTGAACTGGGACTAATTTTTCCGAAGAAAATTGATAGAAATTCGAATTAAGGTGGCAACTGGTGATGTATAAGGCGCATTTTAATCTGGCGTTAGAGAAAAAGAATGAATAAAAGTATGTAACCTAAGACAAGGAAACAAAAACATATTCGAGTTAGAAAAGATTTTGAGTTAGAGAAGCTCGACTGTATAATACGAATAAAAACTTTGCGACAAGAGAAGGGATTGAATAGCAAGTGTTCTTTTTGCTGCGAAATCTTTTGTCACTGGAAAAATAAAAAGAACAAATAAAAGTTTCTTCTTTTCACGTGGCCAAATACAAAATCCATAAGAAGTGGAAATCTTTGCTTGAGGAACCAAGTTCAAATTGAATACGTTACCGAAGCAGCAAAGGATTCGTGGGATATTTACGGAGGCGAAAAATAAATAGGGACACGTCGTGGAACCCCTTTTATCCTTTAATGCTCGAGGTTGGTATATACATCTTGCCGCTTCGGTAACGTTCTGGTCACGCCATTGTTGTAAAATTACGAGCAGAAAATGGAAATCCCGCCGGTCTTGTTCAGCACTTTGAATATAAAGATCTTTATGACATTTTGTTGCAAGTCGCCCATCCGAAGTTCAAACTTTCTTCTGCACTTTTAGTCGATTTAAAATCGGTTCATTTGCATCACAGTTCCCAACAGAACAAAAAATCGACATACGTTCAACTTGAACAATAACGGCTAAACTCTCCTATATCGCATTATGACGATATGTCGTTTTATTAGAAATTTCTCCGATTGGACATAAAATTGGAGTTTTATGTAGGTACATATCTAAGTAGCTGTATCAGATTCGTTTGTGACATTGTATCAAATGAAGGAGGTATTCTAATATTTTACTACATTTCTTTTCAATGAACGAAATCGAGTAGTTTGGTTTTCAAAAAAGTAATAGGACAGCGTTGAAATTTCCTTACCTACAACTGTCAGATATACAAAGTGTCCCACTGGAGGAGTCGTGCTTATTTGACATTCGTAGATCCCCGTGTCTTTTCGCTGCGGATATTTGATTCTGAGGGACCATTCGTCGGAATGAGGAAGATGGACCGCTTCGAAACGTTGGTCAGATGTGTACGTGTATCTACCAGCAGTTAGAAGATGAATATCGCGATGTCGAACCCACGAAACCTGAAACAATGGCAGAAAAACACTTATAGGAACGTTACTGAAAGATTGAGCGTAGACGTAGAACGTGTTATATAACTTTGGTACTGCCTTATGTATCCACAATCTTGTAAATGGAAACGGTTCAGTATTTGTTACTTTTTACAAACAAAATTACGTCTTAATAAAAGGTAAAGGTGGGTATATTTTCTTGTTAGAGGTTTCACTTTACAACTATAGGCGTCTACAGGATTTTGACAGGGAGACAAGTTTTCACGATTTACCGAGAAAAGACGATTCTTCTCGCATCTATCAACAAGACGGGAAGCAAAGTAACATATCAGAAAGAATAACTCAGTTAAGGGTTTTAAAAGAAAAAAGAGTTTAAGGTTGTTTTTCAGATATTACGAAGGAAGCAAGAGAACGCTGACAAATTGTGTTTATTTTTACTTATCTCCCGTTTTCAGGCCCCTTCGAGAAAGAGCGGGAATTGCAAGTCACTTTTCTAATACAGGAGCAATTTCCCCATAGAAATCGGCGGATAACGTACAAACTAATTGGATTTAGAAGAAAAAAGCATATTCCAATAAAACTCCGTTCGAGTTCGCTCTAAAAAATATCGGCCATTTATCAAGAAAATTGAAAAAGCCATTTGTTTGGAAAAGGAATTAGACAAATCTGTTTCTAGCAAACAGCTCGATTTGTAGCTGATATTGGATTGATAATATAATTTTTAAAATAATTCGTTGGTTATCCCTATTATTTGTAATTTGTAATCATTTTGAATTTCGTATATGCCTTCCTTTATGGGTTTGACTACGAGAGCGACAAGCTAGCGATACCATGAAACCTATTTACGATTTAAGAAAGGAAGGCCGTAAAATGAAATACGTTTTCCTGGTATGGAAGAATATCTATCGTAAAGAATTTCTTAAGAAAATAATACGGATCCCCGAATAAACGTTATGCCAGTAACAGCTTTTATAAGAGACTTTACGATATGTCAAGGAATTCTAATAAGTGGCTCTACGGCGTATCTTTTACCAGTTTTAGATGCAGTTAAAAAGTTTATGAGGATTCACCAAAAAGGCTCAACCATGCGGGCCTTAAAGTATGTTAGAAATTATAAATAACATAGGTATATTCTATCAACTATGTCATTCAATAAGGAATTAAGTCGATGGTGGAATGGATATCGATTTGATCCTCAAATATATATATTATATAGGGGCGAACTTTTGAGAATATCAGTTTGGATGCTTTCTTTGGTAATGTCTGCAACTTGATACTTAAAATCCTTACAGGACATGAACAGCTTATTTCTAATTTTCTACGTGACAATGTTGAAGTCCCCGACATTACCGAAGAAGACTTCCATTAAAAAAACTTGAAATGTAATTTGTTATGAAAGCTGGCATTCCTTTAGGGTTTTCCATTGCACTTGACTAGTATTTTTTTGGGTAATTAATATCTTTCTGTTAGTAAAAGGCTTGAAAGACTAGAAAAGTATGCCAGTTGGTATTCAGTTTCTGCGAATAAGTCGCCTGGTTTTAAATATTAAAGGGCAAGGGGTTGAAGCATTAGACGGACGAGTCATCGTTGTAATTAGTTTGAAAGTCCCAGTTCCAGTTCCGGAAGTTGTGGGGCATTCCCGTGAATACATATAAGTACTTTTCCTACAAACCAAGAGCGTCCATGCTAAAGCTGGATCTCGAGCTACTCTCTCTATATAAATTCAGACTCAATTGAATGCCTGTTTCGAAAGTTACAATTTGTTTCGCAGAGTAGAAAGAAAGAAAGAAAATCCTGGAGTTTTAGAAAATCCCCACCAGACGTAGAACCACCACATTTGTCCAAACTACTGTAAACTGTAGTTTTTCTTTTCTTAAAAGTGTTCCATGTTGCCGCAACCGAACAAGGAAACAAATTGTGTACTGGGCAAACTTTTCGCCTTTCTGAATAACAAGGATTTGAAAACAAACGACGCGATTCTTCAATATCATCATTTGATATGCTTTCATAGGTACTTATAAAGTGTGTTGTTCACAAAAGTTTACGACACCTTTGCAATTGCAAAAGAAAATATGATTTTCTGATGAGATTAGGCTCTAGTGTTGGATAATGCAAGTATGGTGTACATATGATCTTGATATTGAAAATACCGTGGCTACAGAGGGTATATTACAATGATTATTGTAACTTTATTTATAGCCCTGTAAATATCTGATTTTTTACGTATAATTTTTGATTTCCCATAGACGCTATTATCTCTACACAGAGTTGTTCTTTATTGTATCACAGCTTCATTTTGATTTCCTTTTAATTTAACCGTTGAATTTTCCTAATTCTCCATTCGTTATTTGTCGAGTCGACGTTATGTTTTTTTTGCTTCTTGATACCTTCGCTGAAAAGGTAAAGCAGAAATCGATTTTCCGAAATTCTATTGTTCGAGTAGGTAGTGAGCCGTGTTCATATTTAACCGGTTCCGCGTGTAGAACAGCACTTTGACGTTCTAGAGTTTAATTACATTTCCAAGTGGATTGTATTCAATGATGCACTTGTTTCATGCAGGACGTTTTGTTTCCGTTGTTGGACGAATCAATTTTTGCATTTTTTCTCTCTCGTTTAATTTTGCGAGCAGGCAGTTTAAATTACATTTTGAATTACGTCACTTGAGTAAAGTGCTTCTCGAAGGTGATGTTCAATTCAAAAGTCGATGGCTCGAGTCGGGCATTTCACGTCTTAATTCGCGAATAAAGCGAGGGTCTTTTCGTTCTTTTCTTCCGAGATTTTCCGGTTTAAAACTTACTGAGAACATATTGTCGAGCGACGTTTACATCTGATGCCGGAACATTTCCTTGTCTCTCTTCTTTGTTGTCATTCCGGAATGTCCCGTTTGCCGCTATCTTGTCTTGGCAATTCATTTTATCAATGTGGCTAAATGACTTCCACGACCATCATAAATTACACCCCACTCTTGTCCGAAACTCTTTTTCTACAACCAACTCGTCTCGGACCCAACATTTTTTGTCACATGCTCCTGATTTTGACAATCTTGCTTCAAAGAACTAAAAAGTGTCTCAAAATTCACTCAAGGATTTGAAAAAAGGTAACGTGACAGCTGACAGTTCAGGCTTGTTAAAGATGGAGGGTTATACACGAAAGAACAAGACGTTTTTATTGTTGAGCAATAAAACTAATGAAGATTGGCAGTTACAATTCGCTATTTTCGCATAAAATATGGCCGGAATAGTGATCAGTTATAAACTCTGGCATGTCGTTCAGTAGAAAACAGCGAAGCAGTACGTAGGTTGTGCCGAGAATTCAGGAACACCATTTTGGCATCGTGAGTAACAACTGGACCTATTAGGAAGCTCTCTACGCTGCATTAACATGAAGGACTTCGCATATTTATGCTTACAAAGTTCAATTGACTGACCACGCACAGCTATGAGAGTTCGTTGAATGGAACAACAACTGGATGCTGATTTTATCTTCAGCAATAATACCCATTTTGATCTTGATGACTTTGACAGTTGACAAAATTGTCGTACTTATTAGGTGTTCGAAAAATCCAAAAATGATTGTCGAGAAACAAATATATCCAGAACGTATGTTTGGTGCAGACGTATGACTGGACTTGATCGGATCAGTTTTCTCCGAAAATTGCGCCTGGTTAGGCAATAACATCTAATGGTATTTGGCAAAAGGACGAAATTGAGCGCTGTATCAACGAAATTCAACCAAATTTTTGCTTGAATCTAAGAATTTTACAATTTTTAATTAAAAGCCTACAAACTAATGTCATTGAAATGTTATTCAGTTAAATAAGTCCACTACATACGAATTTCTAATAGTGAATAGACGAAGATAATATTTTAGCTTGCGACTTAAAAGATGAAGTTTGATATTTCTTTTCTGTATCAAGTAATTTCGTGAAATGGATATAAAGAATGTTTAATTTGTATGTATCTTAAATGTTGAGGAGAGTGCAATTTAAAATTTCGCGATGTTCCTGCCGTTTGTATTGGATATTTTATGGTTTGTGAATGTTGGTAAGAAAGCACTTTGCTAGAGTACATATAGCGGAAGAATTTAGGAAGAATCCGTGGAGGATTTTCATCATGAAGGAGCAGGAAGGACAAGTTCTATTTTTAATTAAAAGCCGGCGAAAAGAAGTAAATGAGAAAAAGCGTACGGCCAGCGATTCCTCGAAATGATATAGCCGCGCCAAGCGGCGAAAGCTTCGCGAACTAATGTAACGTTAAATATGCAAGTCAGCCCCGACCATATTTAATTCCTTTTCTGGCATGTTGCAGCAGCTTAATGACTCTTTGAATAATTTCACAAGTAGACTATTCTTCATGAACTAAGTGTACTTAAATGAACTAGAATTTAAAACTTCCTCCTCGAATGACGATTATACAAGCCTCTGTTGTACATCAAACTTCTCAATAGAGGCCAGCGAAAATTACATGTGACGGTTTAGAGAAGTGACCACCACATTTACTATAAATATTGGACTGCTACAAAATGAATTAGCAAAACTTTTGGAAGGAACTGTTCAGTGGAGCATATGGAGCAAATAATTGAATATTTATATTTATCTTGAAGCTAAATACTTTTAAAAACATCCAGGAAAACTCAGAGTTGAACATATTTTCTAAAAGCGCTTCTGTATTTCCAGCATCAGCTGACCAACTTCATTAGACTAGGACTCGTCTACTGTTTATGATGCTTCGATGAAGTCATCCTTGTATATAATCGGGATAACTTCCATGAAAAATTTTCTTTCAAATACCTATTGTGACCTCTATTTATCCGAGATCGTCTCCTTGTGAGAATATTCACATCTTTCTTGCTTTTTTTCAATTTCCTCTAATTCTATAAAGTCGAATGAAGACGTCAGTTGTCCGATCCGATCTCATCAGCATTCCGAGTGACTGACGACAATGAAACGGTGTTCGATTGAAAACTTAGAGGACTCTTTAAAAATCCACTCGGCTCGGTTCCCTCTAAAACCGGTCAAGGGTGCTCGTTCTTCCCTATCGCACTATTTTCGCGGCTCTTCTTCTCTGCGTTCCGGAAGCATTTAGTTAATGCTCTCTCGCATCCTTAAGGAACACCGCGATTCATCATTAGGGATTTTGAAACGGAGCTTGATGGGTTTTTTCTGTTTTTTTTTTTTTCTTTTAACTTGCCCTCTTTCAGCCACGGAAAAGCGAAACAGAACGGACTCCCGACAGTGAAACGTTCAGATTTAATGTAAGCCATATTTCTTGAAGTATTTTTTTTATTTTATTTTTTAACGCCCACCGGCTGACCTCTGTTTCCTTTTGTTATTAGAAGTGGATCATTTTATTCTCCAAAATCAACATTCTAACTGAAATAAGCATCAAAATTTAAACGCAGATCGTTATAGATAGCTTGTGGCGGTAATTTCCTGGTTGTTTGAAGCATTAAAGAGGTTATTAAATAAAGCGTGTATAGAAGGAGTTGAATATAGCAGGAACCGGGAATTCCCTTGCAACGTTTTCACGTCAAAGCGGACCGTTTTTGCTCTTGTGGCGGCATCTATTTTTAAAATGTTTGAGGTTCCAAAGAATCCAGGCAAAGTGCAAACGATGGAGTGGCCGCTTTGTGGTCTCGCTTTTCCGTACGCCTGGCGATTTTCCTGATACTACGCCTTTCCACCATTACCATGAATCGCATATATGCATAATACATGTGCGTAGGTACCTAAGTACATACACTAACCGTAGGTTATGACATGAATGTTTCTTTTTTTTTATTACAATACGATTATGTGTAACATTATCGAGGAGGCGCGGATGAATTTGGAATTTGTTTCGTCAGTTTATTCGAGGGGCGTCAAACTGGAAACATTTCGCTAACGAACTCGGTAGTTCATTTGAAATGCAAAGAACCTGCGAACATTGAATGCAGAATGCACAATGAAGACGCTGCAAGTAAATGATTATGATTTATATCGACCAGTGCGGAATCAAGTAATTCTAAGGAGTTTTAAAATTCCAGGAACTTGCACGTACATACATGCAACTAAAGTGATTTTACTTTCGTTGTACCGTCGATTTTTCACAGGACAATACGTAACGTGAACCGTTTTTCATATTTATTGTACCTATGCACTCAGATGTTCATAATACGCGGATTACATGAATTTTCCTTGAATATTTTTCCCTGCATTTCATCTGTTAGATGGCTGTCATAAGACGAAATAATGAAAATTAATTCCTGTAGTGTTTTGTGTTATTATTACTTGATCTAATCTAATTACACCAGACTAGCGATGTGAAAACCATTTATTTGCCCAATAAAGTGGCGTATTCCGAAAATTAAATAATTTGCACCGGCTCTTGTGTCGCGAAAACAATTTATTAAAGAAAACACCGTTGTGTTGTGGTTCGGTATGAAAATGTTGGCGTTTTGTGCCGCAGGATCGTTAACTTTGACGATTTATGCTCAATATATACTAGGACTAGGTTTTGCAGTTTTGTTTTGCGCTTAGTTTCTCGCCAAAAGGAATCGATACAACAAGCGTTTTCTGTAACCCTTAAAATTTATGGTGCTTTGCTTCATACGAAGATTACTCCACCGAAAGAACGATAAATATAAGTTTAACCTTCAAAATGAAGCCGATATTAATACGTTTTGTTCGACATGATTTACAAGCATCTTACATGATGTGTATTGTTACTCTATTAAAATTAAGAGAAGTTTATGTCAAGTTGTTTGGCAGAATAACGTTTTCAGTTCATTTTTTGATACAATAAACTTACTATTGTTACCGTAACGAGTTTCCCTAATAGTTAGGGTGATCCTTCTAATAAGTAAAGGAAAGAAAGAAAGTACACGGAAACAAGAAACATGGTCCTTCGAGCCGGATTTGCGATGTCCAGACCTAAAAAGCTAGTTACAGACCGTTATATCGATAAAGAAACAAGAAGTGTGCACTTATTACAATTAAAGGTTTTACTTTGCACTGCTTTAAATGTTTACTTTTGTCTTTGTCTACGTCTGTCCTTGTTATTTGAACATTGATATATGAAAGTATTTACCGTTTTATTTCCTAAATTTTTTACTCTACAATGTAAATGGACAGCTTTCCCAACTAAACCAGTTATGTTTGACTCGAAGGTAGTATCAAAAAATGGCTCGGCAGGTGTGGTTGATGGCAGTTCCCAGAAAAAGTTCTTCAATGGATCATCTACACCTGAACTCACTTTGAAACCTGAAACAAATAATAATAACATCAGAGACTTTGTTTATTTATTTATTTTGTGTTAACTAATGTTATCTAAACATTAGAACAAACTTGACGAATTAGTTACAAGGGATTGTTGTACATGTAAACCCACGAATTTTGGACTAGCCTGTTGGGCAAAGTCTTGTAAACAGTGTGGTCGGTAAGTGACCTGAATTAACATGAATTAATACCCATTGTTAAACGTGGTAGCACTCTACAACCTGAATAATGTGCTACAAGTGCATGTTGTAAATTAGAGTAACAGCCGTTGAAATTCGTACTCGACACGGTGAAAGAAAAGCCATAATTCAACGGCGAAAAGCTGTGGATTTTGTGTGAAACGGTTCTCCTAGCCACTAAACAGATTCCTAAACCGAAACCCTGATTCTATTGATCCGCAACGTAGTCACGTATAATATTTACCGATAAGGATTTCTAAAAGTTTACAACAATAATTTTGGATGATAGTGTTGTTTTTACAAAGAGAATGATAGGCCATTGAATCTATGTATAGATAAACTTAAAAAGAAAACAAACTTGTGTGTATTTCATTCCTATTCCAGTTACTAATACGGATGAGCGGACAGTTCCACACTATTAGAAAGATGAAGGATAGGGCGGAATGTACCCTTCAGTCTCGTTTTAGGAACGGGTGGATGGCTGGTTGACGATATTACTGTCCTTGCATTTTTCTACACGATTCAAGTAAACCATAAAAAAACTTGGATCATGGTAAAAGATTCCTGAATCGGCTTGATGTGGCCCCGAATCTACCATCTAGAGACTCGACCGTCGATTGCAGTGAACTATTTACCATCTATCCTTGTTTTTACTAGTCAGTTTACCTAGTACGATCATATTCCATGTAACGAATGCAGATCGTTACTAATTGTTACGTAAGATTGACTGGTCTACGTATCAGCAGTTGCGAAGGTCACGAATAGGTATGTGTGTTTCGTCGAACGTCGATAAGAAAACGCGGTAACTGTTCTCAATCATTGATGTCTCGTTAACTGGGGTACTTTTTGTGCTTATGCTTTACATCCCCTACGTTGTGGTGCTATCACGAGACGCACTCTACAGTGCCTCCAAATGTTACCCTTTTAATATTCCGCAATACTAATCAGATATAAAAATGTATATGTAAAAAGCTTTATTCTAACAAAGTCGCACTGTGGGCTACATTCAAAAAACGGAAATTTTAGTGTTTCATTACTATAAAAGGAAC